CTACCAACCATGGGTGGGTGCCAAAGCGACCCATCAGTACGGAGAGGAAGCATGAGCCTCACCCCCTCAAACGCCCTCTTAACGACATCAACGGAAGCAGCCACAACAAGGGCCTCACATTTCCGAACGTTGCAGCGCATACCAAAAGCAGCACAGAACTCAATAAGCAGCTTAAGCGAGAACTGGAGGCGTGCCAACGAGGTCGCGAACAAAGTAAGGTCGTCTGCATAGAACAACAGAGGCAACCGACGATCATTAATGACAGGACATTCGTGTGCACGTGTGTTGAACCATTCGTCCATACCATCCCTCGCTTCAAGGTAGTCAGCAATAACCTCAATGAAGAACCCGAACAAATTGGGACTCATGGGACACCCCTGCTTCACGCCCTGCAGAGAGGCAAAGATGGACCCTAGGCGACCGTTAACCTTGACCCGTTGGAGAACACGTTCGTAGCTGGCTTTAAGGGCCGCCAACATGGGTCCATGCACACCCCTCTCCTCAAGACGCTGCCACAGGCTTGCCCGGGGCACTCTATCAAAGGCTTTCTCAAAATCCACCTCATAGCAAATCAAGCGCGCAATATACCTCGACGGTACGACACAGTGCTGCTGCTGCTGTTGCTGTGCCGCCAGCCTCCGGCCAAAGCCCACTGTGCAGTTATTACTAATCCTCGTACCGTACCGCGACATGAAAAACACAATAGGATGATGCTCCACAAACTACAGCACACGGAAGAGTCACGACACCACAACCGATAGCAACCGACCAGTTAATCGCCCGTACAGCCAAAACAGATTGGTAATCTGCTGGACACATCCCTCAACTCAAATCAACGCACATACTGACACTCGTAATAGTGAAGTGCTCAGCCCCCCTCAGCACCACGACGGGGTGCCGCCGCCGCCACAGCAGCACCAACACGAGCCTCGGGAAGAAGACAGCGGAGCCAGGCGCCTCTGCCACCTAGGGAAGAACGATAAAGGGAAAACACAAGCGCGTCAGAGAACGTCCCATTTCCTAGAAACGGCGCACTTACCTCCTTTACCCGTCCGCGAGCCCATAACCTGAGCGGGTAGAAACCCACCGTACGAGCATCAGGCGAGCATGCGGTGGTCGGGCCCTGCATTGCAAAGTCCCGCTTCGCGCAAATAGCGACACGAACAACGGACGCGGAGGTGGGGCTGGCGAGTGGTGCGCTCTTGGCAGCTCCACCTAAGGTACTACTAAAAACGGACACCGGCGAGGCCTTGGCGCTCCCCAACCGTTCCTATCCTTCTCTATCTCACCTCCTATGCACCACCCGCCCTCCTGCGGAAAAACTGCTCCCTGGTGACAGGCAGACAGTGCACTCCCGCGCAGGGAAGCGAGAGAGAACTCAGGCCACTACCAGGGAGACCACTTCCGGAATCCTGTGTTTTACGACATGCTACTGCAGGTTTTATTTGAAACCCTTGCACCCGTACCGCACCGTACGTTACTGTAAGGAACCGCACCGTACCGTGTGGCATTCATATCCGCGGTACCGTGGCAGCAGTTGCCGGGAGGCGTCGTTGTGGAGCGATAGCGCGGCGTCCATTACCGCGACGGGCAGCGTTTCCCACAACGAGGTCATTAAACACAGGCACATACTGAGATACACAGCAATCATGCTTGGACGGTGGCTAGCAACGCTAATCCGGACTTTGTTTTAGGGCTGGACACCTTTCCTTAAGGGGTCTGCTCCGCTGCGCTTTGCTACTATTGCTCCTGGTGTTGCTACTGCTGCCACCAACCGCCAGCCAAGTACGACTGCATAATCACGCGATACGCGGCGCAGGAAAACACAATCGGCACGGCGATACGAAACATGTAGTACACGCCACGATACGGCACGGATCCATACCGCCGACTTACCGCATGTATCATCTGGAGGGTGCTTGCACCGTAGATACCGCCAAGCGCCGCCGGTCAAAAGGAGGGTACGCGGTTCGGGGAACAGGTGGGGCGGGGCGGGAGGGGATGATATCGTTTGCTTTGCTACTGCTTTGCTGCTACTGCTGCTGTCGCAGCAGATCGCCAGGCAGACATGATTGCACGCTCCCAACAAAATGCGGAACTGAAAACCCTAAACAGTACGACCAACCGCAAAGCGCGAGGTATCTTGAAATCCAGGGGCTCATGCAAGGACTGCAGCTCGTGTAGCGCCCAATCGTTGCGCCCTCGGCATTGGTGTTGATATACGGCCGCCGCGCAGCCATAAGGACGCACCAGAGGCAGGCGGGAGGACGGGGCAGGAGGATGGGCGGAGGGGAAGGAATAATCAGCAAGGTACGATGAGGTGGTTCATGAGGCCGTCTTGTTTGGGTTCACGAGCGAAAAGACATGCATAAAATCTTATCCATAATAGCTCACGCATACCTACAGGTGTTTGCTTTGCCTTGTAACGATCACTGCCGCTGCTGCTGCTGCCGCTTCTGCTGCCAGCCGCCAGCCGAACACGATAGCAAGGAAACGTCCAACATGGCACCGGACAATACACCAGGCGCTGCACAGGGTACGACGAACTGCACTGTGAAGTGCAGTACAGCACGCAACGGCACTGGACGCAACGCCTACGTACCACATCAAAGCCCACACTAAAGGTTGTCGAAATCATCAGTTCCTGCTTAACCTGTTTGCTTTGGACGCCTAGGCCCTCTCCCCGTCGCTCCATGTCACCGAGCCCTAACATGGGACGGGTCGCTGACGTCCCAGAAATGGAACGGGTCGCTGACGTCCCAGCACACGGCGAGTCCAATCGGGACCCTTCTGACTTTGCTCTTACCAATAAGAATCTTGTTTGTTGCTACGTGTGCCGCGCAACCAGGTGCGGTGTTTGTTGCGGTGGAGCGTTGAGGACGCTGCTCAGCCGATTCCCTTTTGCAGTTCCATGATTCGGGTTGTGACAACTGTAAAAATCTTTTTGGACCTAGCATTTCATTTGAGGACTACACGACACCAAACTTCTCGGGGTAAGGACTGAGGCTTTTAAACGAATCGGGGACTTTGTTCTTACGGGCGAGGATGGAGGCAGTGAGAGGATTCATAAGCTCACGTCTTGTAGCCTGGCGTCGTATAACCACAGCACCTGCACAGCCCATGGAGTGTACGACAGTTGCGACGATCGTACAAGCTTCGGCTGCTTCAGTCATCAACTTCATGCGAGCGGTGATAACATCCCAGAGCCTTGCGGCCTTGACAGCTGCGGCGCCGTCACCGCCGCCGCCGCTGCTACTGCCGCCGCCGCCGCCGCCGCATGCGCCCCAGCGCCGCCGGGCCTCTGCGGCGACGCAACGGAGGCGGCCGCCACAGCGGCCCCCGTCGCCACCACCCTCCCATCGCCGCCGCCACCTGTCCGCCCGCTACAGCTCCCCAACGCGCAATCAGCATTGGGCTCCAGCTACAGCCACAGTCACAGCGTCACCTCACCCTCCACGCCCTCGTGTGGTGGTTTCGGAGCCTTGAGCGGCGCACAGCAGTACATGGCGAGAGCGCATGAGGAGGTGACGGTGCTGTTCGCAGGTGGGTTGCCGGTGGGGTGTGTTTGAACTGTGTGTGGCGGTGG